GAATTTTCAAATAATAGAAATGAAGAGGATGGTTGGACATTTGAAAATACTTTGCAAAAAATTACAACATTAAAAACTGAATTAGAAAAATCTCATAAGAAAATGTCTATTATTAAATATAATAAAAAAAAAATAATCTTTAAATATCTTTAAAGATTACATGAAAATGGTAAAGAAAAATAGATGCAAGTATAAAAACTGCTAAAATAATATTTATTAATGCTGATTTCTATAAAAAAATAATGATCTATAAATAGGTAAAATATTAGTTTAAACTTAATTATCTTTCTTTTGTATATCATAAAAAATATCAAAAGTTAGTACAATTAATTGATGATAAGAATATAATTAATAAGTGTAAAATTTAGATTCAAATACAAGGTAATTGAGTTACTCCAAAAACTTTTAATGATTTTGTTGAATATACACTTCTTATTGAAACTAATATTATTAAAAAAATTATTTCGTCTATAACAGCTACCTAATAGCTTAATATTCTTAGACTTTTTATTAAAAATATTATTAAGGTATATATTATGATAGATATGAATGTAAAAATATAATAATTTATTGAGAAAAATTTTTTAAAAAAATTTCTTATTATAAAGCCTATATAGTAAATATAATAGAAATAATATGAAGTGTATTCCTTCTAAATTAAAAGATAGTAAAAAAGAATATATCTTAATCACTTATGATGAATGCATTTTTTTATGCTAATGATAATAAAAAAGAAGTTTAGACTTCAAATAATGAATTACTATTATGAAAAAAAATGAAAAGTCAATTATGATTAATGAATTTCTTTCTGAAGCTTGTAAGCATTTGTGTTTAAGTCAAAAAAATATATTAAAATATTCAACTATATCAAATAAAATGAGAGTTTATTTAATATTTGATAAAATCAAAAAGGTTATTGGACTATTTAATATTTACTTGAACAAATAGATACAAAGTAATACTAATCTTTAAAGCTTTATTTTCTAATTATATAGCAGTTTTTGCTTTTAATAACAGTTAAAATCATTCAATATATTATTCTGATGCATTATTATCTAATTGAATGAATCTTAAACTTGGAGAAAAAAATAAAATGATAAGCATAACATGACAAATAATCAATATTAGGAAATAAATTTTCTGATAATTATTATATATTAAAACTTTAAGAAAAGTCTAAGAGTATAAAATAAATTCTTTGCAAAAAGGTTTTTAAAATAAAAAATATATGGTAGATTATAGTTTATATAAAATAAAACTATCTGAAATTATTCAACATAAACTAAATATCATGCAAGGTATTTATATCATTACAACTTAACTTTCTTATACAAAAGGTGTACTTTAAGAAATGATAGAAAAAGCTGATCATAAATACATTTTTTATCTTAAGTTTTATTATGAGTTAAATTTTATTGAATGATATTAAAGAGAAGTAAAGCATTATACTTGAAAAAATTATAATTATTCTTGGTTAGAATTATAACAAATAATTTCTTTAAGTTTAGAATTAATAAATCTTATTATAATTTAAAAATTTACTTAATATGCTTAACATTATATAAATGTATATAGAAAAGAAATATCTGATAAATTGGTTGAATATGCAATAAAAAAATATAAAAGTCATAGACAAATTTCTGATTATATAATTAAAGAATTAAATAAAATTACTTTATAAGATTTGTGTTTAATTTTATTTTAATATGTAAAATATATGAAATTATTATCATGTGTCTTAAATTTAATTGGTTAAAATTATGTGATTAACTAGAAAACAGTTTCAGAAACCATTGTTAAGTCCAGAGTATAAGTATAGTAAAAGGGATCAATTATATATTGACTCAAATTTTGAGCGAGCAGACAACAGGACACCTCATGTAATATGTGACTAGTATAAGAAAGTCCTTTCGTTTCACTCTGGACTAATTACAAAATGACTTAAAATTTTCAGATTATTTTTAAGTATAGATAAAATGTATCATATTAAAGTCTTTTATCTATGATGTGCAAATCAAAATAATGGATAAAAATTTGAAATAATGTTATTAATGACTATTATTAAATATAAGAAATAATCACTTTAAATATTTTAAATCTCAAATCAATTTACAAAATCCTAATTAATTAAATAATATTACTGAAATTTAAAAAATATTTTAAATAATAATTGCATTATAACAATTTATATATAATAATAATTTTTTTTAATATATAATCAGAAAGAATTTTGATTAGAATGATATAATTTTTCATATTAAAAGAATTTTTTTTATAAATTTTATAGTATAATTCTTTAAATCCTTTTATTTATTATTTATAATTATACTAAACTAAATACATCTTAAATAAAAGATTATAAAGCTTTATTTAAAAGTAATAATACTTTAATAAAATAATATATAAAATTTTGTTTAAATTACCTATTTCTTAAAAAGTACTTTATAAATAGTTTTATCTTATTAATTATATATGTAGTTGTATTAAAAAAGTGATTGATCCTTCAATTAGTATTCAGAAGGTATAAATAAAATATATATTTGAAAAACTTTTGTCATTTGTTTTTTAGATATCAATGAATGCATGATGTTTCTCTGGAGAGGAAATATATATATATATATAAATATTTTTTTTTGAAAAAAATTGACTGATTTGAGGCTAATATGAATCAAAAAAAGTCTTTCAACTGCGAAAAAGTTTTTTTTTTTTTTGATCCATAAAAGATTTATGATTGAAATGTTTTGTTCAAAATAAAGACGCGTTACTAATAAAAAACTTTTCCCAATCTTAAATTTTCAATCCGAATGATATTGTATTCCTTTTTTTTTTTTCATTTTTTCCCATTATATTTTGAACAGAAAAAAAAAGAGGCATATCTTTGTAAACTTTCAGTGCTTTTACCAATTTACTCATGGGAAGTTTGCTAGGAAAACCAGAAGACCTTATAACATTTAAATCTAATAACATCAAAAACCAAAATGCAATAAAAAATCAAAATTTTGTTAAAAAATTCCCAGAACCTGATTTTCCTAGCAAACTTCGTATACCTTTCGAATTATATATATGTGAGAAGGTAAAATTGAACGCTCGCAAGTAAGTAATTTTAAAAATAATTTCAAAATGACTAAAATTTATATTTTACTGTAGAAGTAGTATACCGGGATACCTAATTGTCATAATTCAATGATAATGATAACGGTTTACTTGATTGAATTTGACATTTTAAATAAATATCATAAGTCAATAAAAGTTAAGATTCAAGGAATTTGTCGTATTTTATTTATATTTAACGGACATCTGGTAAAGAAAAAAAAAATACATAATCTTTTTAAATTAATTAAATAGCTTGATAAATATTTAGGTAAGATGATTAGTCTTATGATTTATTTCTTTTTATAGTTGGAGAAAATTTAAGTAAAGGAATCATATGTCGAAATGCTCTCTACCAAAAATTTTAGATTGAAAGGTTATTTTTAATCTCGAAAGGCTATTGGTCGATCACATCTAGTAATACTCCAAATCCGTGTAACGCGTTTAGTCTATAAAACTAATTCTTGGGAGCGGCCAACTCATTTCAATTATTAAAAATTATGTCTTCAAAAACAACTATTACTCAAGGAATAGAAACACCAAGGTACTTAATTAAACTCTATCCAATTTTTTGGTTATGAATTTTTTTGATTGTATTTTAATTAATGTTGGTCTTTTTATAGAGGTGTGATTCTTAAACTTGCTATACATACCGTTATGATGATATTTCTTCCACTTAGCACTTACTATTATTCTTCAAATTATTATTTTGAAGGTATTTTTTTTTATAATCTTAATGTTTTAACTAACGTTCCTTGACCAATCAATACCTTTTAAAATTAAATTTAAAAAAAAAAATTATAATAGGGGAGAATAAAGCAACATTCGCTGCACTTGCGGCTGCTGGAATTGCAAATCTAGTCGTATTTTCTTTTATAGTTACAGCGGCTTTAGAAGATTCTGACGGTGTAAAACGAGATAAAAAAGAATGATCATCTTATACAATTTCATTTATTTCTTTCATTTCTTTCATTTATTTCATATTAATTCTAGTGTCTGATTAAATTTAAAAAATCTGTAGTTGTAACGATATAATAGATTTGGTAATATAAAAAAAAAAAAAATCTTTATATAGTATTCTAAGCAAATAAAATAAGCAGAATAATTTTATAATTTTTTCACAAAGATATTTAAATAGTATAGCTTTGTGGAGGTTTACCTTCTAGGTAAAAAAAAAAAAAAGAATAAATATTATAATTAAATTTTCTACTTTTGAAAAGCAAATTGTTATTATATAATCCATATTATTATAATTATTAGTTATTTATTTAAAGAGAGAGAAAGAGAAAAGAATTTAACCAGTTCTCTTCTTTGATTTTCTCTTCTTCTTACTTTTACCACTAGCCAATGAAGTTGTTGAAACCTCAACATAATCTTCATCTTCCGTACCAGCTGTACCCTCTGCATTACCAGTTACTTCACTGCTAGTGCTTTTATCCTTTCTTCGCTTAACTTCATCTCCTTCACTATCACTTGATATTTTTTTCTTGTCATCCTCTTTCTTCTTCTTATCTTCTTCACTATCGTCGGCTGTATAATTAAAGACTTCTTTCAATTGATTTTTCGCAATACCAGTAACTAATACGGACAAAATACAAGCAGGTGAAAGGTAAAGTAATGCGGGTTGAGCAGCTTTGAATGTATGCATAACTACTATGGTTGTAATAAGACCTAAAATATATGCTGCGAAACAATTATTAAAATAGGTTGTTGGATAGATAGAATTTTTTTTGGCATTTGGATGCTTTTTTAGGTAAAGGTTGTGGTCAAAGCGAAGGCAAAGGGCAACATAAATTCCTAAGGAAATTTCACAATTAGTTAATAAAATTATTTACCTCCAAACGCGATCAGACGATAACTTGTCAAATGAAAAAGCTTACCAGGAACGACAATATCTCCCAGGCCCAACATTGTAAATTGTAAAGCCTCATCGGGTTGTAATCCAAACCATTGTTTAGGCCAGACGACTTTGATAGGTGCATCAAAACTTTTGGCAACCGTGACCATGACCTCTGTACCAAATACCCAAAAAATATCATAGAAAAATAATCCGCTTAAAAGAATCATGCCAGTTTTAAATGAATCAATCGATAACATTTGAATTGCATTAAATGCAAAAGCAAGTCCAAATATGTTGGATGCGATCCAATTTTTAGTCGCTACGTAATAAGCAGTGAGAAGGAGTGAAAAGAAAAGCGTAACGAGATGTATGAAAGTAAAACTGCCGCTGTAAATCTCTAAATAGAAAAAGAAAAAGAATTTTTTTTTCATTTTGAGTACGCAAATGATGTGAATTAAAGAAAATTTGATTATTTGATTCATTATTAACCTTTAGCTTTCTTCGTCAAGACAAACTTATAAGAATCTAGTCTGATCCCACTAACGTTTTTGACAACATGTACTCCAACGTTTGTCAAAGCAATCACCCCTAAAAATGAAAAATATCCGGTGACCAGATAATTCACATATTCTTTATCTAATAATTTGAATACTAGGTAGAGTGAAAATAATACAATAGAGCCAAACACTGGAAACATGTAGGCGTCTTCTGTTGATAAAGATTCGGAAGATGATTCGTCCTCTGAGGAAGATTCTGTGTCATGACTTCGTTTAAAGTTAGCTTTCTGTTATATTAAAAAGTTGAGATGATAAAAGAACGGTGAAAAATTAGAAGTGCGTCCACCCGTTATAAATTTCTTTGGAAAATCGAGAAAATAAAAAAAAATATAAATTTTGTTAGAAGTATTAACGTCGATTCGTACCTTTGGCCACTTTACCGAAGAGAACGATCCATAATAAATCGGTACCACCGCCATGATACCCAAGGCAGTGTATGCGATCAGTAGACCAGTTTCCATGTTTTCAATATAATATTTGGGATTGTAAAAGGAAGAGTTTTTAAGGAACGAACGTGTTGAGCTGAACTTATAGATGGATTTTTTTGCTCTGGCTGTGTTGTTGATTTTTGATTTGTTCGAATTTTGATTGAAATATGAAATGTGGCAATCACGTAATGGATCTATTATCTTAATTTAGTCTTATAGGTTTTACATTTATATTGTTTATGGTTAGCAATAGATTGATTTTCTTCAGGACTTTGTATATATATATACAATATATTATGCCTTGACGACTTCCAAATGGAAAATCATCCGATACAATCTTCTTCATTTTCTTCATTTTTTTTTTTTTCTTTTTCTTTTTCTTTTTTAGGTAGATTCGTTATAAGCGCCCTTCATAATACTGAAAGGGAAATTTTGTTGTGAGGAAAAAAAATTATTGTTTTAAAATAAAAAAATTTAGTGGAGTTCTTATAATGTAAAGTCCCACAATTATCTTTTACCACCAGCCTCTTCTTCTACGACGACGAGGCTTTGCGATGGGTTTTACTGGCTTTAAAGTATTATAAATATGAGGATACTATAATGCACAATTAAATAAAATTAGTAAAATAATTAAAATAATTAG